CCTGCCCGATCGGTACTGCGCATGTGCGAGATGGTCCGCCATATTGCACAACTCCGTACGGCAACCCAACTAGGACATTTGACACAGTGGCTTTTGGCAAAGCACACAAAGAAAACTCAAAAAACCGAGAGAGATGAGTTATTGTTATTACAACGTGACTTCACCCATTATTTAACAACTATTTTAATTGGGTTCTTTTATTTGGGGTTAAGTACATTGTCAGAATAAGTGAGAAATGGATTTAACTTCTGTTAGACAGCTATCATACTGAATACATATGTATGCAAAAATGTATGGCATTAATATCCTAATAAGACTCACCTAATTAACTAACAACTAATAATTAAGTCACCTAACTCACCTAATAAGATCATAAGACTCGCGCATGCGCAATGCATATTCGCATATTGGCCAGCCGTCTAGACGGTCTAGACGTCAAGTGTCCTAGTTGGGTTGCCGTACGGAGTTGTGCAATATGGCGGACCATCTCGCACATGCGCAGTACCGATCTGGCAGGTGGACGGATCGGGGAGTGACAACAGCTGTTATAAAGCATTAAATAAAAAGTCATGAAAGAGATAAGGAGGAGAAAAGGTTTAAGGAAGTAAGCAAGGAATACAGAATGTCAAAATTCTCTGTTTCACGCGATGAAGACAGAGGACGGCGGTCCCCCAATCTGCTGCATTTCCTCTCGTTCGTTTTTTTCGACTAAACAACATTATTTTGTTAAATAACAACATGGTGATGTTTTGTAAATGATTACATGTCTTATTTAGCACAGACTATGATCCTATCCGTGACATATGGATCTTAACAAAGATCCGCTATACATTAGTACCAGACATTGTGGTGATTGACATTATTCACCCACGGATCTATGGGTTGGGGTATTGTTCCGCACGGACATTTTAGTGAACCAGACCAGCTGTTTCCGCCGGTCTTCGCTTCCCGGGCATGAAGTTGTTTACATGTGTGTTCAGATGCTAAATAAAAGTTTAGCTTGTACTTTTGATACCCCGCCTCCGACTCCCGTCTCTCGGCACCACAACATCCAGTTTACTGTATCAAAGTTGATTTCACATGAGCGATGTCGAACATTGAAAAGTCCTTGTAAAATCTCTGTTATTAGATCAGTACTTTTCTTATATGACTATTATTGACTTGAACACTGAGAATGTATTTATTAACTTCAGACATTTGAAATATTTGAAATCAGATGAAAACAAACTGTAACGGACCCTGCCGTGTTATCTATGATTACTATGCCTTACTGTACATTCATAATTTCAGCCGGAGGGAGGTGGGCGGCGTTGCGGAGGAGCAGATTGCGAGTGAGGTGCCTGTTCTAAACGAACTATTACAGCTGTTATAAAGCATTAAATAAAAAGTCATGAAAGAGATAAGGAGGAGAAAAGGTTTAAGGAAGTAAGCAAGGAATACAGAATGTCGAAATCCTCTGTTTTCACGCGATGCCGAACATTGGACGGCGGTCCCCCAATCTACACAGCGGGAGAAAGAATATCATAAAGCAGATCGGAGGAGACATCACGATCTTCCCACATTAGTGCAATTCACCTATACTTAACCCCAAATAAAAGAATCCAATAAAAACAGTTGTTAAATAATAGTGAAGTCACGTTGTAATAATAACATCTCTCGGTTTAAGTGTTCTTTTTCTGCTTTGCCTAAAGCCACTCTGTCAAGTGTCTAGTGACTATTTCTCTTAGCGGACGCATGTCAATTTAAATCAATACAACTATTTTTTAAATCAATAAAAACATTTTCTAAATCCATAAAAGCATTTCAATTAAGATTGGGAGTCATGTCGTTACTTTGTTGAGAATGTGGCCATGTAATAAACGGGATAATTTGCAGCGACTTGGTCATTGTGGGGAAAAATAACACCCATCCTGATCGTTTCAATGAAGTTGAATACAGAATATTCATATTTGTCAGTGATTTCATGTCAATTCGGCGAACATAAACATCAATGATCGTGGTGAAGATGATGATTCAATTAGGATTAAAAATCGGGAGAGCCGGCTCGTTCGTTTTTTTCGACTAAACAACATTATTTTGTTAAATAACAACATGGTGATGTTTTGTAAATGATTACATGTCTTATTTAGCACAGACTATGATCCTATCAGTGACATATGGATCTTAACAAAGATCCGCTATACATTAGTACCAGACATACTGTACATCCAGTTTACTGTGTCGAAGTTGATTTCACATGACTCCAGTGTGGAACCCCACTGCACCCCCTGGTGGATCAATGATCCATTGCAGCTGGCTTCACAATAATTAAATGTATTTATCACGGGGGCGGTATCAAGTCAGACTGGGGGCTGGCTCTTCATCACGGGCCGATCACGGGCCGATCATGGACCAATCACGGACCAATCACGACCCTCGCGTTTCAAACTGTCCAAAACAAGACGCTCCATCTGTATATTTTAGGAATGATCAGCTCCTGCAGCTTTCTTTTCTTTCTTAACCTGTTAAGCCCTGAGCCTGTTTTTCAGGTCTCAGGCTCGAAAATGACATTCCCAGAACAAATGACCATATCTTCCCTTCTAAAAGGGTTAAATTAATAATCTTTTTTCTCAAAGTAATGATAAACCTGTGAGTTGGATGTAGAAAAGTCAGAATCAATATAGATGTTTTTTATTTTAAAGAAAATTCAGATTTTACATAGTAAAAAACTGTAAATTATAGTGTCCGTCCAAAAATTATTTTTTACAGATAGTGAAAACTATAAGTCACTATATGGGCTTAAACAGTCAGGCAGAAATTGGAACAAAATGCTGCATGAGTATCTGAGGTCAACTGTGGAAGGGGGAAAAACAAATCTGATTTATTGTCCAACAGACAGATGTTATGACAAAACCTGCACCAAAGTTTAAGTTGATTAAGTTTGCAAAGTTTATGTTTGGAGAGTAATAATGCCTGTAAGCTAGAGTAACAATTTATGTAAGGTAGAGAACCTTATAATGTGTTTATTTGTTAAAAGACCACAAATGTGATATCAAGTGGGGGTGTTAACATTCAGGTAAATGTGTTACCAATTTGTGTTTGTTATTTGTTGTGCATGACTGGAAGCCAATAGCGAACCAGGTTAAAGTTCAATGATGGGTATAAATAAAGTCACGCTTCCAATGGGAGTGTCCGTTGAATGAAATGTCACTGTCTCGGATGCTTCGTTATTCCTCCGCTTATTTGGATGCTAAACAGCAATGAAGTAATGCTTACTCTGCTAGTTTCCTTCGTTTCTCTGGATTCATTTCGCATAAAATAAGAAGATTTAGACGTTGTGTGTTTAATGTGTAACACCACAAGCCTTTCCTCCTCATATTTTCATTCATGACAGGGTTTTTCAAGCAAAGGGACTGTAGTCCCAAACGATAGCTGAGGATTATTATAGAATTAAACAAATAAATAAAAACAAGGATAATTGTGTGTTATTGTTGAGTAAATAACAGTGTGTTATTTAGAAAAGAATAACAAATTAGAAAAAATACAGATTTCAGTATTCTGAGGCTCTGAGCCACATTTATTTTCCTCGCGGACGGCAACAAAAAGTCAGACATTATACGATTTAAAATAAAAACAATAATCGTGGCTTGATATTGAGTAAGAACATGTTTTTATGAACCACACAGCTTCCGGTCTTCCAAGACCCGACCGGACAAAAAGACGTGGTGCAGGCACGAAACACAATACCAATAGAAATACATTGCTTTTAAAATCGTTCTGTGTGACACGAAAAAAAGGGGAAAATCGTGTTGGTGCTTAACAGGTTAACCAAGCTGCTAATGCCGCTTGAAACAACAAATATTTCAGCAAGTGTACACTGTAAAAAAAAAAATTGTAAAAAAACGGAAATTTTCTGGCGACGGGGGCGCCAGAAAATGTCCGTTAAAAAAAGGAAAAAAACTGTAAAATAAAATACGGAGATAACATGTAAAAAAAAAGTTACTTACCTTACCACAAGTAGCCTCTATTACTGTAATTTTACATGAAATCTTTTTATTTTAACATATATTATTTGTTAGAATAGAGTCATAAACCTCGAGAAAACGGAATAATTATCTTTAAAAAATGATAAAAAAAAGCTAAAATACATAAAATTACTTTTATTATTACAAAAAAGTACCGTGTATCTAAGACCATTTACCATTAAAACACAAAGAAAAGAATGTAATTTTACTTTGCAAAAGCCTTAGTTTACATTAACTATCACACTTTTTGCCCAAAAAAATCTGTAATTTTACAGGAAATCTTTTTCTTTTAACATATATTAATTGTTAGAATAGAGTTATACACCTCTAGAAAAACTGAATAAATATTTTTTTAAATGATCAAAAAAAGCTGAAAGAAAGAAGATTACTGTTGTCATTTGAAAAAATACCGTAAATTCAAGATTCAAGGCTTTATTGTCATTTGTACATTAGCTTCAGTGTAGACATGGCAATGAACAACTGAAGTCACAGGCTCCTCCAACAGTGCAACATATATATATAGAACATAGAACAAATAATGTAGGACCAGAAACGTTTTTAAGCTAAAATACGATAAATATTATTGTTTGTTTTGTTTCTAACATGTTCAATAAATTGACTAATACAATTTTGTTTTTAAAGAGCCGCTGTTTTGGTGATGGTGTGAGTGTGATGAGTCCATGTCAGGTCCTCAGTGATGAGTCAGGTCCTCAGTGATGAGTCCATGTCAGGTCCTTAGTGATGAGTCAGGTCTTCAGTGATGAGTCCATGTCAGGTCCTCAGTGATGTGGACCCCGAGGAACCTGAAGCTGCTGACTCTCTCCACCATAGTCCCATTGATGGCGATGGGGGCGTGTCCCTCTCCTTGCTGCTTCCTGTAATCCACAATCAGCTCCTTGGTTTTGCTGACGTTGAGATGGAGGTTGTTATCCTGGCACCAAGATGTCAGGTTTTCGACCTCCTCTCTGTACGCCGTCTCGTCGCCGTCGGTGATCAGGCCGATGACGGTCGTGTCGTCAGCAAACTTCATGAAATCTAAGACCATTTACATGTAAAACACAAAGTAAACATGTCATTTTACTTTGCAAAAGCCCAAGTTTACATTAACTGTCCGATGTTTTGTAGAAAAAAATCACAAATATATACAATATATTATTGAAAATAATATACATCACAAAAATAAAAACAATAAATAAAATATATTTTAAGTAATAATAAAGCAGAATAGACCGGCAATGAAACATTTCAACATTTAACAATAGCCAACATTTTGTTGATAACAAAAGATAACAATTATAAACACTAAATAAATCTACCTGTTATGTGCGTGCGTGTGTACATGACTATGTGTGTTTCAACTCTCTCCATTCAAAGTCAGCGACGTTTGTAATTAATGAATGCACCTTTATCTTTATCGAGTGCTGTTTTTGTTTGTATTCCTTCCTCTCCACTCTAGTCCCATTGTCCGGATTGATCTTGAATAGGCACCTGTTAAGACAGAAGTACACTTACATTTAGTGTTTAATTACACATTCTGTGGATGATACAGCCATTAATTGTCTTTACAGTTATACAGCTTGAAGTCAAAGGGCAATGCTACTCTTAAATGTACTTTTCATTAACTGCTATGATCATATCTGTGCATTTAAAGCATTGGTTTGAATAGATTTTGTTATATAAAGTCGTCACTTGGCATCACTATCACACTGGACAGTATCGCAGCAGGTCTGTAAACAGGAGCAAGCGGTCACTTGAAGATTTGGGTAGCTTCGAGTCCCATCTTGAGAGGTTTGTGTGTAACTGGGGCAGATGAGGTGCGTGTCAGTAGCAGAGTGAGCGGTGTAAAAGCATCGTAGTTAACCGAAAGAAGTTCTAATGTGTTTGTTCACTGCAATAATACCAGGTTTTCTTTTGTTGTCGACAAAGGGCCCTCTTTCCGTCATTTTCATTGAGCTGAAGTAAACATACCACCGATTGGCTAAGAGTGAGTTTGGGCTTTTAGGGAGGAGCCAAAGCACACCACTGCAAAGGAAAGGGGTACGCTGAATTTACAACCCAAGACAAAATGAGAGCATAATGCGAAACAGAATGCAGCACAATAATCTTTTTATCTCGATTATCTTGTATTGTCAGGAGCACTTATCGTGTGTCAGAAATGTGCACAATCCTCTACTCTGTGGTTTAAGATGGAATTACTTAATAATTACAATTCAAGTCTTACCTCTGCAAGAACTCCAGGGTAGCTCCCAGTTCTGAGCGATAACTGATGTTGAGGCAGTAATATGCTGCAAACATCAGCATCAGGGCGTCAACAACATTCAGGACACTGTCACTGACGATGGTCTGGTCCTCTGCTATCATGTAGTGTCCAGCTGTCAGGGGAGAACTCCCTTAAGGTACACAACAGGAAAAAGTCACAAAACATTTATAAATCCAAAAAATATTTAGTGCAGATTGTTTTGTTTTTTTACTGGTGATCACATGGCCAATTGTATTTTAGGAATGATCAGCTCCTGCAGCTTTCTTTTCTTTCTTAAGTGTTTCCTAATGTTAACAGTGTAGAAAATGTCACATCATAAAGGGATAGTTTGGGTGTTTAAAGTGGGGTTTTATAAAGGTACTTATCCATAGTCAGTGTATTACCTAGAGTAGATGATGGCCGGCAGGGGCGGACTGGGAAACGGTGGACCTCTGTCGCCTGTCAGCTTAACTTCAATGATGCCGTTTAAAAACAGCAAACCGACCCGGCCGTTCGGTGATTCTACAGATGGTCAGTCCGCCCCTGCCGGTACCGAAGTGGGCCGAGTGGCCCGACCGGCCTATCGGGATTCGTCCCGAACGTCCCGATGGCCAGTCCGCCACTGATGGCCGGGATGCCCCGAGCTTAGAGATGCAGACAGGAGCAACCACCTGGAAGCAAAGCAATGTACTGCTCTGGACAGGGTCAGCAGAAAAACATATTTTAGCCACCTCTTGATGATTTCCATATCCTTTCACTGTTTGCATAGCAATACCATATAGGACATTGAGAATTTATAACACTTGTAATATGGCAAGAAATCTTACTTGAGGATCTCTGGCTGCTGTTTATTCTTGGTAGGTTGCAATTACTGGTACTGCAGCTACAGTAACAGCTGAGGGAAAAAAAGAGACACAAGTTTTCACATGCTTAAGCAAAAATAACTTAAATAACACAGCAGCAGCTTTAAGTACAGTAATACCACTCAGAGTTCCCGTTATGACCGGTAAAATATGCTGAAGACCGGCAAATCGAAATCTCTCCGGTCAAAATGTCTGGTCAAAATAATTTCCCTTTAGCACAATACCGCATCAGTTGCGCCACTTATGTGACAGACAAGAATAGTATGTGACAGACAAGAATAGTCAATTCTAATGTCTAACATTTAATGTAGAGAAAGAGTGTCCTGTATGGGTTGATTGTGCGTTGATCTGTTGGCAATGCATAATGCTGCGCTATACTTTGCGGCCTCACCCGGTTGCATAGCGACGCTTATTGTTTAGGTGTCTTTTAATAAGCAGGTAGTCATATCATTAGCTAGAACTAGCTAGATCTGATCGATATGGACATAAACGCGAGTGAAGTCTAAACTGACCGGAGCAAGAGATCAGCTGCTGCTGACGAGTCGACACCCAGCTCTGCATGATCCCCTGCAGCGGTGAGCGGAGCAAAACACACACTTCAGGTTAGAATATCACGTAGCTATTTTAATTACCTCTCAAACTACCTAAACTAGTTATAGATATGTTTAGTTTTACTGGGTTGCTCATTACTGGATCCGCGAGCTGCATGATACTGACGGGCTGTCAGGAGAGGGAGAGAGAGCGCTCCGTTTATTATTCCCGTGTTATAAATTACTGTACACTTTTGAATAATGTAGTTAATCTACTAGAATTAGTTTGTTTAATATCGAATCATATCAATTTGTTTAAAAGCTCAATAAATAAGACCTTTGACCGGCACTTTTCTCATTTTGTCCGGAAGATTTAAACTTTAACGGACATGTTGACCGGCAAAAAAATATTCTAACGGGAACTCTGCCACTTCAAGTATAAGACCGGAGTACTTCAACTCTTATTCAAGTACAAGATCAGAGAACTTCTCCCACCTCTGATTATAGCCTTAACATAGGATTTAAAAGATATGGATAATGTGCATTGTGTGTAACATTATGCCCACAAAAAAATCGATTATAAAACTAAGGATTGAGCTAACATTAGGAGTTAGTGACAATGTATGCTAGTTAGCTAGCTAAACTATTTATTAAATAATATTGCGAAAAAGTAACTCTGAAACATTCACTGCAAATCAGCTCAGCCACTCGAGCACCATTAAAAAATTAAAAATTAACACCCTGCATAATGACGGCATAGAACAGCTCAATTTCAAAGCATGGTAGCTAGCTGCTACCGTAGCTAGCTAGCTGCTACCTAGCTATGGTAACGTTAGCTAACATTACTTTGTTTTCGGTCGTTAAACAAAATGTATACCATAGCTAGGACTTTGACGTTTGCAATGTTTTAAGTCTTGAGTGTTTTGAATCCGTTGATAAATAGTTTTTACCGTTACCTCTGAAAGTGCTGATTCCTCTCCTCTGGGCGCGCCACGTGCAGTGCTCTTCACCTCCTGCGTGCTAACTGAGTGGTCTCTGTAGTATCAGAGTGCCTTTGTGCATGATGGGTAAGTGCAGCAGAAGTCTCGTCTCTGATTGGCTGCAAATCGATTGCCCTGGAAATCCTTTGATGAACATCCAATCCTTGTATTATTTTAAGAATTGGTAACGCCACACCATAAAGATTAATTTAAAAGTAAAAAAATGGGGTGCAAACTATTTACATTGCAATTATAATTGTTTAATTCTTTGGATTTTATTTTCTTAATTTACAAAATGACAATGTAACTAGTTGATAAATAATAAAACAAACACTGAAGGCCTTCCAAAGACACAAGCAAAATATGTTATAAGACTTCTTTATTGTCAGTTTATTCTTTTAAATTGAGAATAGAGAACACTGATAACTAATGTTGTTGCACAGGAATATCCCATCTGTACTTTGCAGTCCTGTCCCAAGTACAAGTTAAGTAGGTATTAATCAACGTGTACATATCATTTTTAGTCATGCATAGTACTGCCTTCCTGTTTGCTTTATTTTTGAGAAACCTATTCTGCACCTACCTGGGTTTTAAGAGAGTCCAATACCCAGGGGCGGACTGGGACTACAAATCAGCCCGGGACTCTCGACCGGCCCACTTCGGTACCGCCGGCCCACCTCGGTGAATTATCAACAGGGGGGGGGGGGTGCTAGTGAGTTATCCGAGCGGCCCACATCGTCCGACCGGCCCACTTCAGTACCGGCCCATCGGGATTCGTCCCGAACGTCAAACATGCTCAATTTACTTTTTGACACAAGCTCACAATAAAGTCAGATGGGAGATCTACAGAAGCAAAGTGTGATAGACAAAGATGCATTCCTATATTAAACAAACAGAAAATACATCTTTGTTGTTCCACGAGGCAGTTGTAGCCATAGCAAATGGATTAACAAGTGAATTTATGTACTTAACCTTCAACTACCTGCTGCCTGAAATCCCTGTGACATCACTGTAGATTGTTGTAACCAACTAGCTGTGTGGGACATTATCACAATACATATTTAAGTTAATTGACTTGGATTGTAAATGTATTTCGCTGTAGCTACTAGCTTTGTCAACATGCTTTGGTGAAGGCCTATTCTTTCAATGTGATGCATTGAATAGTTGGATATTATTAGACGTCTAAAAGGACAACATTGTTCGTTTTACTGTAATTGCAATGCTAATACCAATTTAGCATAGTGGTAGCACTAACTGCTAACACGGTTTTGATATTCAGAGTCTGGCTGTTAGTGCATGTTCAATGTTATGGGCTAAATTGTACATGCTAGTGTGATAAGGCCTAGGGGAAGATGCTAATGTTATTTAACTTCTAGATCCTTTCATGTTTTACTTAGAGTGAAACTCAATATGTTTTTTGCATACTGTGCATAAATATTGAGTCACACATTTTAGAACATTGATACATTTCTAAAAGCTACTTTCCTAACAAACATGGTGCAGTTGTAGCAATCGCTACGAGAATGCACTCTGTGTTAGCTGCACAAGGCACTTTGCGGTAGCTTCACGTCTCTGATGATCTGAAAAGCTAAATGATGTCAGAAATGTACACAGCTTTTTCTTGTGTTGAAACCAAGCGGCAAACTCTGGGGAAGAGCCGGGACGCCAATGCGGAAGTGCCACAAACTGCAGTTCATATATTGGCCGATAGGCGCTGACTGCAGAAAGGAGCAATTTCCATAGAGCCCCATGTTAAAATGCCCAATTTCACAGCCTAAAAAAACATGTTTCTACCTATGGATCCAATAAATATTATTATGAATATAGTTAGATTCCACCTTCATGATTATGGATCTGTGAGTGAATTGTTTTCTAACACGACCCTTTTATTTATATTAGGTCTTAAAGTTTTTGCATAAATTAGGGCGTGGTCACATTGAGTGACAGCTCTGTCAAGTGACTGCTGCTGTTAGCTTCTTGTCTCTCTGCTAGCTGCTCCGTCTCCGTGAAGCTACAGGGACTCTGCCTGGTCAGTTCATCCAGGGAACACAACTTGATCCCGGCCGTGTTTGTTTGTTCTTCATGCTTATATATCGGACTATTGTGACTCGCTCTGCGGTTAAAACAGACGGTGCATGAATGCCGTTTTGCGGTAAGTGAAATTCGAGTACTTTATTTATGTGTTTATGATTTTAATCAGCTACGTAATGAATGTTAAGGCTTGGGTTAGCGTGTAAGCGAGTGGTAGCTACATCGGTGCTAACGATGCTAATCGTATCCTCCAAGTTAACTTAAAACCATAGACTGTGTATATAAAGGTTAAAATGAAATAGACAAGTGTTAAGCGTTAAGTGAGATAGTACTGTAGAACAAAAGGCTTCTGTTTGAGGTTGATAAAATAAGGTCATCCTTGTAACTTAGAGAGATATTTTATTATGTAGGTAGGAACTGTATGCATCGCTAAGGTTAATTTAAATTGGCTATGCTCAAGTATGTAGACAAGCTAACGTCGAAGTAGTGTATGTGAAATCAACCTCACAATAAGATGTGTGTATATTACAATTATTAATGTCATATTTCAAGATGATTACTTAGATATTACAATATGGTTGGTTGAGCTGGAGTTCATTATTGAGCTTACACGTTAACGTCACAGTCATCTGAAGAACGAACCCAAACCTTGTTGTTTTTATTAATTGCATTACCAAATTGGTATCAAATAAACAGTAACACAACAGCATTGGTAACACAACTTCCAAAGTTACAGTAAAATAAAAAGAACCCTGACTCGGACAATACACAATCCAACATGTTCAACAGAAGAGAATAAGTTATATTGTTTGTACACATGGTTCTTTACATATATATCTGTTTGTTTAAAGTTTCCAGGTGATGCAGACAGGATGGACCAGAGAGTGAGAGACAGAACTGGACTCCTCACAGCAGTGAACTTCAGCACAGGTACAAATACTCTTTTTTCATACTGTACAAAGAATCAAGAAAGATATTGGTTTAAATAAATGAAGTATTGACTTTAATACACTGATATACATTCCATTAAACAATACTAAATACTAGATCACCTACACATCAGTGAAGTTGAGGGTTTTTTCCATGCAAAGGGTTACATTTAGATGTTAACAAGCAATATGACTGTCAGCTTTCTAATTGAAGGTATTGAAGG